CCAATACTGTAAGGAAAACAGATGATGATAAAGGCCAACCTTGAGCTTTTTCGTTCAGCATATTGGTTCTTGATCATATGCTACTTCCTGAAATGTTCAATGTGGACGTTTTTTGGGGGGGGGATAGTGACTGTAGTGACCGTTTATTTTTCCATCTTCTTTTGACGTTTCCTTCATCATTGAAGATGGTTCCCATTCCCAAGGGGAATGCCTTCAATCTCTCTCCATTGAGAGTAATGCTGGCTATTGTTTTTTTATGTATACTTTTAATTATGTTGAGGAATTTCTCTTCTATTCCTATTTTGTAGATCACTTGTATCAGGAAAGGGTGTGTTGTTTGGCAACTATCTTTTCTGCATCAATTGAGAAAATCACGTGGTTCTTTACCTTATCCTATTAATGTGATGGATTATACTGATAATTTTTCTGTTAAACCATATTGGCATACTTAATTTGGATCTCACTTGATCATAAGAAATTATTTCTTTAAAGAAATCTGATTTATTTACAAAGTTTGAATACATTGTTTTTCACAAAAGATCCTTGCCATTTTCCTTCATCCCACTCACCCATCGAATCGTACAACCCTATGATTAACACCCTACCCCCCAGCCCCATCTTCACCCCTCTATTTCCACCCTCCCCTCCACCTTGGATCCTCATACTCATTCTACAATAATGGTTTTATACAGTATTTGTCCTTGTGGGACTGAGTTAGTTCATTCAGCATAATGCTCTCCAGTACCTCCCAACTTAGGTAATAATTTACAAAATGATTGCTCCTGCATGTTGCGTAGTATTCCATTGCGTGAATGTACCACAGCTGCTCAATCCATTCATTTACGGTTTGACATCTGGGATGTTTCCATGTTCTTGGGATGGTGAGTAATGCCGCTATGAACACTGGTGTAAAAGTTTCCTTTTGAGCCTCGTTTATCATAGAAATAATTTCTTTTTATATGATGCTGGATTCTATTGCCTAAGATTTTGTTTGAGAACACAGGAGTGTCTTTAGTGGCCTCAAATGTAGGAAACTGAGCTGCCACCCTAAAGGTCAGAAGTTCAAATCTACCAGCTATGATGTAGGAAAAATTTGTGCAGTCCACTCCTCTTTTCTTTGTTAATGTGTCATCAAGTCTCTTGAAACTTAGAGCGACCCTGTGTACAACAGCTCTGAACCCTGCTCTATCCTGAGTCAACCTTATTGCCTCTATCTGTCACACCTACCCCCTATAACCCCAGTCACTGAGTCAATCCAGCTCACTGGGGGTCCTTCTCTCTTATACTGTCCCTCCCGCCTCAAGTATGATGTCCCTCTCCAAGGATTGGTTCCTCCTTGCAACATGCCCAAAGTATGTATGTGAAGCATTAGCATTCTTGCCTCTTCCTCCAAGGAGCAGCCTGGTTTCACCCTCTCCAGGACGAATCTGTTTGTTCTCCTAGCAGTTCATGGTATATTCAATACTCTTCTCCAGCACCACAGCTCAAAGGCATCAATTCTCCTTTTATCACCCCTAGTCATTGTCCAGCTTTCTGATGCACAGCAAGTAATTGTGAAAGCCATGGCCTGGTTCAGGTGCACCTTAGTCTCCAGATAAACATGGTTACCCTTCAGTACTCTGCACAGGTCCCTGACAGGAGACTTTTGCAGTCTTTGCAAAATTGCATTGCAATGCAATTCGTCTTTTGATTTCCTGGCTGCTGGTACCAAGAGTGTTGACTG